CTCTTTCCAAATCAGTATTTTTGAAACCTGAGGGTTGTAGGAGAGGAAAAAGCAAACCCAAAATAAACTTCTTAACCCAAGAGCTCTTCCTATATGTCAGCTGTTTTACTATCAGTCACTTATTTCAGAGATTAAGAGGATTAAGTACTACCACACAGAGAGAACTGAGGCTGATTTTAGTAAGGAAAGAGCAATTAAGTAAGTATTAGTAGCTTCCACGTATTTAGAGAACAAACTGAATTAAAACAAATGTTATCAAGGATTTAAACTAATACAAGCCAGGTACTAGCTGATAACTTTATGAGTTGGTTTTGGGGTTTTTTTTGCTTTTAGTTTATTTAAATTAGTTAATTCAAAGTAGCTCTTAAATTGTTCATTAAGTGGTGGCCTACTGCTAATTTTTAAGGATCTAAGGCTAGAGAAGATCAAAGACCAGACAACAGAGAAAATAAGTGATCTGATCTAACACGGTAATTGTTACTCTCTTAAAATTACTGAAGACTTGGGTGAACTCCCATCTTCTGACATGTTAACCTACACCATCCCCTCAGACTGATATCCCAGCACCTGTATTCGCCCAGCCAGCATTTTTAATATTCCTCCTCTCAGTTACTACTTTTGTCCAGTAAATGAACTTTCTTCCTAACTCCTTGGTCTGTATTTCCATCACATGCCCTCAACACAGAGCCCTTCGGCCTTGAGCATTTTCTCTAAAAAGGAAAATGAAAATAAGTAAGGGCAGGTGATTCCCTCATCATGCAGCTGTGATGTCTGCCCAGCGCTTACATTTTTCACAACACTGAGGTACAAAAGCACTGGCAAGTGTCTACCATTCCGTGAGCAAAGATTTCAACATAAACATGGAAAAATTAAGATGACATAAGAGAGCTATTTAATGCTTTCTCCTTAGCAGTGTGCCTGCCAGTTGCCAATCACAGCCAACGGATTTTTTTCCATTTACAAACCACTCAAGCCCAAACTGCCCCAGTCATTAAAAAAAAGACAAAATACAAGGAGCAGTTTCCTGACGTGTTCTGACAAATAACCTCTCAGTTC